GAAGAATTTTAATGTGGACAAAGATATAGGTACCAGGATATTCTCACTGTTATTTAAAATAATGAAAAATAATAAACTAAATGTCTAAAAATTGGAGGTTAGGTAGATAGAATATAATATAGCCACATTATGTAATATATAATGTTTTGAATATTATATGTATATATGTAGACAGGAAAATGCAATATGCTATTGAAGAAAGGCAGAACACAGGCATATGTAATATCATTCCATTTTTGTTATACAAATTCAAACAGTTCCTTTTCCTCTACATTTTCTAATTTTAAACAATGAAGTTCATTACTTATAGACTAAAAAAGTTATTAAACTACGCAGATGAGAAAAAATCAGAGGGAAAATTTTAAAACCTAATAAAAAACTGTTAGGGCAATGGATGATGGGTGATTTCATTTTTTTTTTCATTTTTCTTTTGTCTCGCCTTTGTAAATTCTCTGCAATGTTCTTACTTTTATCACGTCAGATACTTAAAAAATTAATAGGGAAATCAACACTGATTTCTAAGCCCATCATTAGGGAGAATATGGGATTAATTCTGCCACCCCCATTTCCCTTCCCTCCATATTTCTTTCTGCAAGTGTGGACACATTTCTCCACATTTCTCTAGGGAAAAGTCTCTTGGTGACCTTGTGTACCAATCAAGAGTTCAGTGAGTACAGAAGAGCTGGTGCCAAACTGCCATCAGCGTCTCTGCAACTTCCCCACTAATCACTCGCTGTACTATAAAAAGACTTAATGGGAGAAGAGGTCCTGGCCGGCTCTCCCGCTAACTGCTTGGCCATGAGGTCTGCCAATGGGCTAGTCTGGATTTCCATTTCTTCAACCATTAGAGGAAGAGTGTGGACGGGGTGGTCTCTAAGGTCCCCTTGCTCAAACTTTCTGATATTAGAAGGTAGGAAATACAGCTAGCAATAGCCAAGGGAGACTTAGAAATCCACATATTTATATCTATAAAGAGCTATAAAATCTAAAGGATATCAAGCAGAAGTCAGGCTAAGCTATGCAAAACCATGACTTCATTTGGATTAATGATCTGGCTTTCACTAAATGCTGCCACTTACTCTGTAGTCTCTATTCACATCACTGAGCTGCCAATCATCATTAGGGAGACCCATGCGCTTGTATTCTTCACTAAGATCAATCAGCATCCAACCTTGTTCTCTTTCTTCTTTATCCAGCTTGGGGTTGAATGAAAAGCAGTATAACTCCTCGTATTTCACTGCAAGAAAAGGGAGAATAAAGCCTAATCAAGCTCAATCAAAGCCAGAACCCAATCTCACCCAAACAACTCTGTCTGGGCTGGACCGCACTGAGAGGCCAGCCCAGCTGCTCATCCCTTGGAACCTCCCAGGATCACCTCATCTCTGTGGGCAGAGCCACCCATCTCCTCCCAGCAATGACATGAAGACCTTGGGACAACTGGACTCAACTTTGCAAGAGCTACTTTCATTTTAGAAACAAGGCCTTTTCCATTTTGTGCTTTTTTTTTAGTTGCTTTTGAAAACAAATATATTTTCCAGACCACATAAAATATGAAGCATAAATATTAATTAAGAATGTTCGTATCCATTAGACATTGAGAATTCAATTTGCTTATGTGTATCGAGCTTGGATTTGGAAGGACCTCTGGGAGATAGATAGAGGCCCAGGCAACTGCCACATTTTGGTGCTCATAGTATTAAAAAAGAAAACAGCTAGGGCTGGCCGAGTGGCTCAGTGGTTAAGAGCTCGCTCCAGAGTTTGAGCTCTGAGCAACAGTGGTTCAATTCCTGGCCCAAGCTGAGCAGCCGCTAAGCTGTCAACAGGTGGCAGGATGGCTCAGCTTAAAAAAAAAAAAAAAAGAAAAGAAAAAGAAAGAAAACAGCTGAAAAAGCTGTAAAATATATATAAATATTTGTACTGAAAACATTTGAGCTTTTAACAATTACACAAATGTCATAATTGTACTGCTCATATAATATTTATAGGAGTCACATAAAAATATCAATTCATAGTGCAAAAGGGGCTATGCACTTGGTCAAAAGAGGCAAGTCGAAAGATATATGATGAAAGTCTACTTTTAATTTCTGCCAGGATATGTTTGTCCTTAAGTATCACCTTTTATGCTTGTGAGGCCAGACCCAAACCCACACCACCACCACCACTAAGATATAAGATTTGGTTTTCTTGTTCAGGTTTTCTTTGTTGCAGGAAGCATCTGGGCCAGTGCTGTCCAACAGAAATGTAAGCAAGCCATACATGTCATTGAGAATATTCTTGTAGCCACATTAAAAAACTAAAAAGAAATAATGAAAGTTTACTAATATATTTTATTTAGCCCAATATATCCTAAATATTTTTATTTTAACATGTACATAATGTAAAATTTATTAATTGATATTTTGTGTATTTTGTTTTGTACTGTCTTTGAAATTCCATGTGTATTTCACACTTACCAGCACATTTTACCAGTTCATTCTAGCCGCACTTTAAGCTCTCAACAGCCACATGTGGCCAGTGGCTGCCATATTGGATAGTACAGACCTAAGTACTTCTGGTGATCATAAATCATGGCTGATAATGCGCTGAACCCTTGCTTCATCCCAGGTTTGTTCTAATTAAATGAATTAATCCATCTATTAATAGTAGGCTCCAGGATGGGCCTCCTTTTACAGAGGAGGAATCTGAGGCAAAGGTGGTTGAGAAATGTTCCCAGGGTCACACAGCTAGTAAATGGGGAGTCTGGATTTAAATTAGGCAATCTGGCTGTACAGTACCTGCTCCTAATCCCCACACATACTGCTCCTCCCAGGCAGATCTTTCTCTCCTCTCCCCAGATGGACCACTTTTGTATCTTTTCTTTCCATGTTCAATCCCCCTGTTCTTCCTGTTTTTCTCCAACAGATTTCTTTCTTCTCACAGGTTTCTTAGGCCCCCACATTTATTCCTTAATCTGTTTGTGGCGTTCCGCATGGACAAGTTAATGCCCCTGAATGTGTGTGTCAGGCCCTGTAAAGCCTCTCACCCCAGCAAAGGCCACGGGTACACACAGGCAGCCTGGGGTCAAAACTCAGTTTCAAGTGTGTTGTGATTACTATTGAGATGACTCATTTACAAGGAAGAAGAAAGCTAAGGATCATATGTGAAGTACCAGGCTTTTTCCTCAGACATGTACTCTTGTGAAAATGAAGTATCAAGACTGTGGCATATCAGTGAGATAAGCTGTATTTTATTTCAGTCTCTCTTGATGTCATATTTCTAAACTTCAAAATTTAGAATACTCATCAGTATTCTATTCTAATATATCTGTTGGTGTATATTTTCTTATTTGCTGAAATCGCCTTTCAGCAAATAAGAAAACATACACCAACAGGTTATATGCACACACAAACACAGAGTAGATACTTTCAGCAAAAAGTGTATCTTTGTATCTTAGCTAATTGAGCAGATGGCATATAAAATGGAGATTCTGTTCTGGGAACAGTTGGCTTGACATTGACGCATCTTTTCCATCACTAAGTACCATTTTCATGACTCAGGCTTCTGATATCATAATGTTAACCGCAAATGCAATTTGGCTTAAGATGCTAAAAGAACCTCTTGAGAAAGCCTCAGTTCCCTCAGTGAAAGAAAAGCTAATGAATATTAGTCATAATGAAAGTTAAGTTCTCTTTGTTAAATATTTACGAATAGGTTTAAAGGTAGAAGAAGAAATACATTCTATGGCTACTGATAGTTTTCTGTGTATGGGCTCATGCTTGTTGTCATTGGGAAGAGGCAAGGAAACTGTCCCTTTAAATTAAAGCAAGAATAATTTATAACAGACATTGAGAATATCGCTCTTGGACTAGGTAGGATACATTAGAATGGGGTACCACGGAAATTACAAAATATTTTCTTTCAGTTATTTTGCTCCCGCCCAATTCAAGTAAAATTCTACATGAGGGCAGAGAAACCTACACTTTTGTCAGTCAGTGCTCAGTCTTGTTAAAGCTTCTTACCCATAAGCCTTCAGCAGAGGACTGCCTACTTGGAGAAATTAAAAAGTACCATTAACATAGGTGCAAATTTTACTGACTGTTTCCCATTTACACTGTTCTGTTCCCCTCCCCTTCATCTCCTGACAAATACCTGGCAGAAGTTTCAGTAATTGGCAGGAAGGTAAGTTAAAAACAAGAATAGGCCTAGAGAAATCTCTAGTTCTTCACAGAATCGGCACTAAGAGAAAATATCTGTCTGCGTCAGGAAGGTCACATCCCTGATTTGTCACCCACTCTTAAAACAGACGTGTTAAATACTCCACTGGCTTTTCACATCACAAAGTCTGGGCTATCACATCCAACATAAAATATCTTTAGCTGTTAGTGACTGCAGGTTTCAACATGAGGTGCAATTAATTAAGGTCACATCCCAAGGGCCCCATTACTAGGAGACGAGAGCTCCTCCAGTAAGAAGCAAGTAGTCAACATGCCTTAGGCTGGGGAAGTAAACTGAAAGCGCACCTCTAAATAAAAAATTGTTTTCAGAAAAAGAGGAAATCATGCTTGTATTTACTTTATTGACCTACTTAAATCATATAATTGCTAAACAAAGGCAGACTCAAATATTTTTCTATCTATTCAGAAGGGAAAATGACAATTTCTAAAATACTAGCAGTAAATGAACAACGAGTAGCATTTTGGGTATGTTTCTAAAAAAGTCAAATCAGTGTCTTAGGACTAAGTAGACAGCATAAGCTAGACCCAAACATAGAGGTGCATGTTTTAACTGGCATTATTTTATTTTGGCACTGCTGTTCGTTGTGTACTCCTTAACAGAGGAGCGCGCGCCACTGTGATAGCTTCAACATCAATTGCTCTCATCAACTCCTTCTCTCTCAGATTATCCCACTTCCTAATTCCTAGAGAAGATTTACACCATCAAGTGGAATATCTTTCAACTTGGAATCACCAAGCCCACAAATGTCACTATCTCTGTATCTAACCTTTGCTCCTTCCTTCCCATAAAAAAGGGAAAGGGTGTTCATTGCGCCAAATAAGAGAGCTATGAGTAAATCGAAGCAATTAGGGAAGAAAGAAAAATAACCTAACTTGTTTCCCAGGTATCAGGCTAACGATTATGAAAACAGAATATTTAGGGGGAAAAATATGGGGGTGGGGGGGATTCTCATTATAGATTAACTGGGAGAAGTCAAAGGTAATTTAATATTAAAATCAAAAGTACTCTAAAAATCAAAAGGAAACTTGTAATGACCAATGGAAAACCTAAATAATACAATTATATTATTGATGTTTCCCTTACAATTTTTTTTTAATCTAAAGGAAAAACAAACATAAATCAGCATCAGCAAAATGTGAAGGGCGAGTAAAGGAAGGGAAAAGTCATCAGAAGGACACAAAATGTGGGGCTTTTTAGAACCAAACGGAAGCTAAATTGCTCCAGACTTTCTGCTTAATTCAGGCAGCTTAAAATAAATGAACTTGAAAACCATTTTACACAGTTATTATTGAATTTTGCATATAAAAATAAAAATAATCAGAACTTTCCTGTCTATTTTCAACAAACAAATGCTCAAATGAAACATGAGGACTATGAAAGCTAACGCTTAGTGAAACTAACTGCTGGACTCAGAGATTAGCATCACTAAAAAAAAAAAAAATCACCACTGTGAAAACGGCTTAAACAGCAATGACTTAGATGAGCACTGTAAAATGTCAAATGAAACAATTGTGAGATTTTTAAAAATCATAGTGAATAGAATAACTGGGGACTAAGATGAACTGAAAAAATAATTTAGTGAAAATGGGAAAATAAACAAAAGAGGGTTGAAATGTTAAAGGGCTCACAAACACGACAGAGGGAAAGATAATTATACAAAAATAAACAGCAGGAGGCAAATTAGAGGGAGGAGAAAAGAATGAACATGGAAAAAATGGAAGCCCTCTGAGAAATAGAGATCTTATAATCATTAAAATTTATGTTCTTACTAGTACATTGGATTTATGGGATTAACTTATTTTCTCATTTGGGCCACACCATTATGTTAAGTTATTTCTTTACTAAGAATTAAAGCGCTTATTGACTGCTTACACTATTTTTTTTTTACTGGGATCTTTATAGTCCATGAACAAATTCTTATAAATCTTAATTCATACAAAAGGCAAACCAATAAAATCTCACCAAGTTTTTAGTAATTTGATTTTTACTCTTATCCCAGAAATACTAATTCAGGGAAGAGAGAATATCAAGAGCTTTGGAAATATCTCCTTGACTTAAATGGACTCCTAAATATTTCTTCTTTGGGGGGGGGGGGAAAGTCCTCTACAGGACCTTGTGGTTAGCAGTGTCCATAAGGGAAGCTGAAAATATATGATTTGTGTTGGTCACTAACTGGAATAACCACAGAGAGCTATATTGTGCTACTAGAATTCAAAGTATACCTCCCACCCCCACCCGACACACACACACACACACACACACACACACACACACACACACACACCCCTCTCTTCTGGTAGACCTAGAGGACTGTGAGGTGTATTTTGTAAAAGATCCTCAAATGGTTCTGATAAGCCTCCCCTACCCCAGCTGAGACCCTCTCTATCTTTCCCCACTTCCACACAGATTCAAAACCCTACTTCCAAGGCTATAGGCTGTAATCTGTCCTAATTTTAGCATTGCCTTAACATTAAACTGTGAAAGTGCTTGGGTTCCATTTCATCTTCCCACACTTATTACAGTACTATGTTTTATGTGAACCATCATTTCTAATTCCAATGTTTCAAACTTCTGGTGGCTTTTAAAAAATCTTCTAAGGTTATGGCTTTAATTAATTACTATGGTTTCCTTTCTTGGCCTCTGACTACATCTAGCACCTAACTCCTAAAACTTCATCTTTATGAAAAAGTGTATAGTTTTTAAATTGGGGGAACACAGTGCTTTTCCTCCCTGGGGAACCTCACAATGCGAGTCCTGACGCTGGTTGTCATCAGGGGCCAGAGCCCTCACTGTCACTGTGATCTTCCAGCCAATTAGCCCTTTCCCAAGTCTCTGGGCTATTCCTAAATCCCATTAATGTGGTCAGAGCACATTTATTATCCAGTGACACAGAAAATGCTGGCGTACAACTGTCCTCACATTCTCGGTTGCATGAAACCTAACGTATATCTTCCCAGAACTCTGTTCCAATTATAGTGCCCCCTCTAAAAAGTTCAACTGCTTTTCTGGCTAACTCTGCAGTTTTTTTTTTTTCGACACACTAAGATGAAAAAGCTTCAACCAGCTGCTTTGAAAGAGGAACAAATAAAGTCAAAATCATCAGATTCTGACAGCTCCCTGGCACCATTTTCATTATGTAACTTTAGTTCTTAGTTATCTATAGATATGGTGATAGCATAAGAAACTGAAGACCCAACCAAATGCCTTGACAAGTTTATAATCAAACTTCTTGTCCTGAATCACAAAGCATTTAGCAAAGTGACTACAAGCCTATATGCTATTTCCTTATTAATGACTTCTGGGTATCACTACTATAAATATTACTTTACCATAAATGATCTCTTTTCACTGTATTCTCCAAAGAAACTTAGATGTGTATTTCTTTCAAGCAAAAGAACCCCACAGCTCACACAAGCCACACAAGGAGACAAGACACACTTTTTTAGAAACGTGTAGTAAGCTAGAAATCTGAAGACCCAAGATGAGGGATAATGAAAGTAACTGAGAGCACATACAAGGTGTGATCAAACAATATGGTGAATATTTAAATTAAAAAAAATTATTACAGTAAAAGACACATTGCCATGAATCCCCCTCATTTCAAGCATACTTACCCCATCGTTCTTGCCATTTTCTGAAGCAGTTCTAGAAGTTCTCTTTCCTGAGTGTCTTTAGTTGTGCTGTTGTGGCTGCCTCGATGTTCTGAATCAATTCAAACCATTTACCTTTCATGGTCATTTTGACTTTGGGGAAGAGCCAGAAGTCTCACGGTGCCAGATCCGGAGAATCAGGTGGATGAGGACACACCACAATGTTTTTATTTGACAGAAATTGCCATACCAGAAGTGATGTGTGACACAGAACATTGTCATGATGGAGGATGATTTATGGCACACTTCAAAACACACCTTCTATCAAACGTAGCTCACACTTGACTATTTGCACCAAACAACTTGAAACTTGTCACACACTGTTACTAAGGTTCAGTGCGTTGCTTCCCACATTGAAGATCCCGGCCTTTCCATTGGATGGCACTAAGCAGCAGCATTCACCGTATTTTGTGATCTCAACGGAATGGCTCTGTGTCACACATCGCTTCTGGTATGGCAATTTCTGTCACATAACAACATTACAGTGTGTCCTCATCCACCTTATTCGCCACATCTGGCACCGTGTGATCTCTGGCTCTTCCCCAAAGCCAAAATGATTCAGGACATTGAGGCAGGCACGACAGCACAACTAAAGACACTCAGGAAAGAGGACTTCCAGAAATGCTTCAGAAAGTGGCAAGAACAAGGGAATAAGTGTGTTTGAGGTGAGGGGGAGTATTTTGAGGGGGATTAATAGCAAAGTGTCTTTTACTGAAATACATTTTTTTTCAAACATTCACCATATCTTTTGATCATACCTCGTACTTTTCAACTTAATGAAACATTCTTCCCAGAAACCATAAGCAAGTTCTGTTTAGAAGAATCAACAGCATACTTTGAATATTCCCTGATGCTAATCTTGGGAAACATATATATTACTATTAAAAAGCAAAAGATACCAAATCTTAAAGGCCCCAAGAGAGAAAAAACTGCACTAGAACCATTTGAAATCAATGTTTTCTACACAAAATAATTTTTCAGTTTGATTTTAGAACTCAATCAAGGTGGCTCAATTATCAGAGTATCAAAAAACATAATTCTGAGATGATTTCACCCCAAAAGGAAAACACACTATAACCCCCACTGAGATAAAGTGAATACTAAGAAAAATGAAAGAGGTTTATATAGTAAATAACTCATAGAGAGACCCTAAAAGACAAGGAACTATACCATTCAGATTTCTTGGACTCATCTGAGGCCTGGGATATATAATTCCTAAAACACGACATAATTCTCAAGCACTATGCAAATTTCTTTTTATTATTATTATTATTATTAGTTTTGGGTGTACAAAACAATGCAATAGTTATCCTTTCACCCCTCACAAAGTGACAACCCCCCTCCCACATCCACTGTCCCCCCACCCCCGATATCATACATATCTATTACAATTCCATTGACTCCATTCCCACACTCTACTCCACATCCCATGACTATATATGTATTAAATTACCATGCAAATTTCTTGAATGTGATTTGTGAAATTTTTTGAGTGGGTCCATATTAAATGCCGAGTTCCTTTGCCCTACCTGGCCTTGCAAGGCGTATTAGAGAAATGTACACATCATGGCAATCTCTCTCCTGCGGTATGATGAGTTGTAATAGCTGGAAGTTCTTGCAACGAATAAGCAGAGGGCATCCAGTAGCTGTGGTTGCCTGCTTTTCAATGGTGGAAATCTGACTGTGAAGAATCTACAACCAAAAGTTAATGTGGATAAGCTAAGCACAAATAGCTGATAAGGATGACAAGAAGTAACACAGATTTCTGAGCCACACAGATAGACAAGAAACACTCCCCAACCTTCAGCTAGCTCAGCACCTGCACTCAGATGACAAGAACTGGGATGCGTGGGGAAAGAACCAACTGTCTAAATTTATCATTTTGTTTTTCAATGGCAAGCTTTCTGATCTCTAGGCTCATTATTTGAAGCCAACCATTCTGCATACAATTTTGTGCAAGTCCAGGTAAGTGAAAGTTTTTTGGTAGTCAAATGCTGATTGTAGTTAATAGCTAAAATTAAATAAAGTCATGAGAAGTTAGTAAAACAAATGTCTGCAATCACCAAAGTTAGAGACGACTCCACTGGGAGGGGCCACCATGCTCCTGAATTCCACATGGAATGCCCGAGTTCAATAGCAAGCTGGGCTTGTTGTTTTCTAAGCAGTTGGTGGTCAGTCAGGCTGCAGAAGAGATTTATTTGAAAGGAAATCATGCTGGAGGGCATTTCTGATGTTTCAGGAGGGTTTCTGCTCAGTTTTCCATGGCAGCATTTCTTTCTTTAAATCCCTCTCCAAGTCGTCCCTGCCACCCTGTGCTGAAAACATAACCATGTCTACAGAATCCAGGAAAGGTGAAATCTACAATTCAGGGGCTCTGGCTCTGGTCATACTCTGATAGTTGGTTGTCTATCTAAAATAATAACTATCTAACGGTCTCATTATTAAGTAGCATCAGTATTTGACACTGGGATTCTTCCCTAACTTTCTTTTTCTTTTTCTTTTATTTTGAAACTATAAGAAAAGTGGACACCACACAGTAAAATGACTGTATCTGGAATGCTGACATTATTAAATTGCTACCTGTCAGCTTTGACACGAAGCACTTGTTATCATTGGCTATTTCTATCTTTGATAATGGTCAAATAGTTGGTGTTTAAAATGAAGCAGCAGATCAAGTAGATTTGACTCTGTACAGAAAAAGGCAAAGGTCGCATTCCAAAAACAGTCCTCCAAACACACAAAACCAAAACCCCACCCACTGCACCCTGAGGACAAACAAAAGAATGGAGGCTCAAACTTTTTACTTCAAACAATGGAAAACATGTAAAGCTCAAAAGAAGGAACACATACCCATGTTTCTTTTCTTGTGTCAGTTGCATTTTCCACGAATATGACATGAGTAGCCGTCAAATACAAAGTACCAAGGGTTGCTTTTTTAGAAGATATTCGATCTACCAAGCGGACATTTTCAACCTAGGGAAATCAGTTTGACAGAGTTATAGTAAAGCACAAGAGGTAGGCACAAAAGTAAATAACAAGCAGGTAATCTTGTACTTAATCCAAAATATAAGTTTGAGAATTCTCCCAATAATAAACAAAATTTGTCCCTTAATTAGAACTCAGAATATGATTCTGTAAATCAAAAGATCAAAATTCACCCATTACTTAAATATTCCATTAAATGTACCACAAAAGATTTATAAACCCTATTCATTAAGGACATCCTTTCTGTATTTTAAATAGGTCAGCATTTTTATTTCACTGTAATTACATAATTCTAATTTAAGGCAGGAAGTGTATGTATCGAAGTTCTGAGTTTATACAATAACTATATATGAAGTTTTCTATTAAAAAGAAAACAATGTATTTATCTATGTGTTTCTCAGTTGTGAAAATGGTCTCAAGGCTGTCTGCTTCCACATAAATGAGCACGAAATGTAAATACACATCTGGGAGCAAAAAGTGTCAGAGAATGTTCTGCATGTATACAAGGAAAACCTCCCAAATTAAGATGCTCGCATTCATTTATAATACAATCCCTCTAATAAATGGAAGTCTCACCACGGAGCTAACTGGAACTGCTTGGAGAGATTTCTGGAAACATTTTTTTATCAAGTATATATCTCTTACATGCAAAGCAGTTTCAAGGTTATATGCACTGGGATCATTAAAACATGAAATGTAATGGGAATGACAAGACAATCTCTACAGGGCAAGTGAAAACTGAAGCAATGATGACTCTAAAAAGGCAGAGCCAGATGAACATGCGTATAATGATGGAACGCTCAGCAATGTTACCTGCTACTACCGCCAAGGAGCAACTGCCTAGAGACAGACACTGGCTCAACCCTCAACCCTCATGTCAGGATGTTTTCTTGCTTCCAAGAGGCTGCAGAGGGATTAGTGAATTGTATCTGCTCCATTCTTTAGCCTAATGTAGATGCTTTGGTCCTGGTGTAACCGGAGAGCCGGCAGCTTTTCAATGACTCCAGGGAAGACCTCGGTGGGGAGCCGACCTAACGAACACTCCTCAGGACAACTCCAAGGGCAAACAGTACTCAGGACACCCAAAGCCTAAGTCTCCTCCTAGCCCTTTGCACCAAACCAGCCTTTGGAAAAGAGCACTTAAAGATGCCATTCCACTTCCCAATTTCCAGGGATGTAAGGAGGTAAATAAAAAATGGGGTATTTAAAATATTTTCTTTAGTCATACCATTCCTTCTGGGGTGGTTGCAGACTTCCCAAGGCCTTGTATGTTATGAATGGCTATACATCTTAAAGATGTCCATTCAAGAACAGTGTCCTTAACCCATCAGCTTACAGTTTGAAAACAGTATTTTGTTTGTTACTGATGTGCTCCACACTCTTTCATAAGTTTGTATGCTGTCTCTTTTGAAAATCATCTTCATATCCTTGGTTTACTTTTCTACCAGCTGATCATCACTTATATATTTATAAGAACTGTTTACACATATAGTTAGGATAGTAGTCCATGGCTTAATTTTTATGTGTGTTTTATAACTGCCTCTCTACCAAATGTTTTTACTGATTCTAATAATTTTTCAAAAAAGTCTCACGGATGTTCTGAGTAGAGAGGAATATTTTCTGTAATAATTTGTCTCTTCCTTTCTAGTATTTATACCTCTTTTTCCCCTTTGTTTAATGACATTAACTAGAACCTTCAGAATAACAGTAACAGCAGTCACTCATGTTTTTGCTTATTTTTTCAATAACAGCTTTATTGAGCTATAACTCATATTCCATACAATTCACCCATTTAAAGTATGCTAGTCAATGGTTTTAAGTATATTCACAGCGCTGTGCATATCATCACTGTGCAACTATTATCACAATCAATTTTAGAACATTTTTTATCACCCCAAAAAGAAACCCTGTACCCATTAGCAGTCACCGTTCATTTCTCCTCCAACCACCTTAGCACTAGGCAACCAACAATCTACTTTTTGTCTCTATGGATTTGACTATTCTGGACATTCCATATAAACAGAACCATACAATATATTGTACTTTGTGGCTGCTTTCTTTCAATTTGCATAATTATTTTCAATCTATGTTTCAATTCAAATTCATCCATTTGGAGATTTTATCAGTACTTCATTTCTTTTTATTGCCCAATAATATTCCATTATATGGATATACCACATTTTATTTATCCATCTGTCAGTTGATGAACATTTGGGTTGTTTCTACTTTTCGGCTATTGTCAATAATGTAGCTATGAACATTCTTGTACAAGTGCTTGTGAGGACATGGGTTTTCATTTCTCTTGGGTATACATACATACTCATATACACCAAGGGATTGAATTTCTGGATCAGATGGTAACTCTTTGTTTAACCTTTTTAGAAACTCCCAGGCTGTTTTCCAAAGTGGCTGTCCCATTTTACACTCCCATCACCATTGTATGAGGGTTCCAGCTTTCCCACATCTTTGCAAGCACTTGTGATAATCTTTTTATTACAACCATCCTACTAGGAGTGAGATGATATCTCATTGTGACTTTGATTTGCATTTCCCTGATGGCTAATGATGTTGAACATTTTTTCATATGCACCTGGTTTTTAAAGGGAACACTTCCAATGTTTACCATTGGGCTTGATGTTGACAATTTTTAAAATCACATTATGGAAGTGACCTATTCTTAGTTTACTAAGAGTTCTGACTTTTGAAAATCAGGAACGAACATTATATCTTTTTAATATGTATTTGGATATTTGCTTTTTTACTTTAGTC